GGTCAAGTGGATTTCCTTCCCGATCCCCGGGTTTCCACTCCACATGTAGAGAGTGACCACCGCCACGCGTCTAGAGTGAACACCGCCACGCGTCTAGAGTGAACACCGCCACGCGTCTAGAGTGAACACCGCCACGCGTCTAGAGTGAACACCACCACGTGTCTAGAGTGAACACCGCCACGCTGTTGACGAGCCTCACCTTGTTATTGTTGTTGTGGGCAGGTCGCTTCTGAAAACAAGAGCGGTACAGCAGCTCAAGCGGGCGTGGCCTGGTAAAAAATGAAAAAAAAAACTGCGAATATTTAAAATAAAACAGTTACAAAGTAGCGAGCCAGGTGAAGAGAAATTACAACTTAAGCAAGATACTCTTTGGTTCTTTCTGGAAAGTCACGTATAAAGAAAATAATAAATAAATAATTGCACACGACGTTTCGATTGCAACACAAGCAATCATCATCTTCATATATATAAAAGGCAAAGTTGTGATTATGTGTCTGTTCAAAATGTTTAGCATACTTCCCGACATGCAACAAACTTGAAATTTGCCATGTGGGTACTTTCCAGACCATGCAAAAAAAAAAATACACTTTTTTGGGGGGGGGGGGGCTCAACAATGCATATATGTTTTGCACGGCAAGTGAGCTGTGATGTCAAATCTGTCATGTGACCCGCGCATGTGGAAGTGTAACGCGTTGTAGTGTAGTGGTCAGCGCTACGCTGCGCTACGAACCCGGCGACCCGAGTTCAATTCCCACTCACGGCCACCACCGGTGACGATTATTTGAACCGGTCCTGGGCCTCCCCTAGGTCGACTTAGTCTCAAACAAGTAACTGGTGTGGTGTGTGAACATCGCCACTGGGGAGACAAATAATGAGCGGTAACGTCACATCTCTGTCATGTCACCCGCATGCGGCAGCATTACGCATTGTCTGATGACGTCACGCATCCCCCCCTCCCCCAATCCCTCCACGTAGACCCTGTATTCCGCACCAATGCACAGCTGGCGGGGGGGGGGGGGGAAATAATGGTTATAATAAACTAGGCTACAAACTTTTAATTTGCCATGTTGCTAACTCCCATACTGCACACAATGTAAAACGTATAAAAATAGACTTTTGTATTTGGAGTGGGGGGGGGGGGTGTGATAAATGGGATTTATTTTGCACGGCAAGTGAGCGGTGACGTCACATCTGTGATGTCACCCGAATGCCGACGTCACGCAGTGTGCATGCTGACGTCACGCCCCCTCCCCCCCCCCCACCCCCGGTATTGGCCATGTATTGATCAAAGACAAAAATCCAAGTCCCGGCGAAGGCAAGTAGTAAAGCTAGTCAGGTACAAATGAAAGAGGAAACAAACCTGGAAAACTTAGAAATACAATGCAATACCACACAGAGAGTCGGCTAACATAACAGTCAACACCCCACCTGGTTGATAACGTTCTTCCAAAGATTGCTCAATTTGAGAGATAAAACACAGACACGGAGACACACAGACAGACACATAAGCAGAGAAAGATGACACAGAGACACACATAGAGACACACATAGAGACACACATAGAGACACAGACACACAGAGAGATGACACAGAGACACACAGAGAGAGAGATACACAGACACACGGAGAGACACACATATAGACACACACATAGGCACACAGAGAGAGATGACAAAGAAACACACAGACAGAGATGACACAGAGACACACAGGGAGATACAGACACACAGAGAGACACACACACACACATAGGAACACAGAGAAACAACGCCTTTGTGTCGAGGCCTTAAATAGAGAGGGGGGCAGAGAGGGGGTGGGGGTAGAGAAATTAGCATGTCAATGCAAGGCCGTAGCCATGGAGTCAACATTGGGGGGGCAAATCTTCCAGGGGGTCGGGGGACCCCCCCAGAAAAATATCTAAATGTGAAAACTAATTTCCTGCCATTTCCTCCCTAAAATATTTGTAAAATTTCACTAACACATGGGATGGAATTTGTTTTGATACAATGTCTAATAGTGTATTGTATCACATTGCTCTGTTTTTTCTTTTTTACCTTTTCTTGTTTCATAGTATGTAATGACAGAGATTATGGATTAATAAAGTACAACCATAACCACAATCACATAAACAGAAATCTATGCATTGTGATATGAAGACAAGTCCAGATTTCATGGCCAAGGTTTAGCAAATTGTTTTTATCAACAGAGCATCGCAATTACTATTTTTATAAAAATATTTTTACAGCAACATATTGGGGGGGACATTTTGAGCATATTTGAATTATTATAACATAGTATCATTATTATAACATTATAATTATTATACCATATTAAAATTATTATAACATGTTATAATTATAATAAGATATTATATTTATTATAACATTATTATATATTATAATTTTTATAACATGTTATAATTATTATAAGATATTATATTTATTATAACATATAATTATTATAACATAGTATCATTATTACAACATATTATAAGTAGGGCCTTGTGTCAATGAGAGATTTGGAGGTTTGGTGACTAGTATATAACAGCGCGACAACACGAGGACACAGAGAGAGAGACACTTAAACAAAGTTCGTAACATTTACAAATGCAATGCAACACAGAGAGTCGGTCAACACACACAGAGACACACAGAGACACACACACATAGACACAGAAATACACACACAGAGACACACAGAGAGAGATGACACACACACATAGACACAGAAATACACACACAGAGACACAGAGAGAGATGACACACACACATAGACACAGAAATACACACACAGAGACACAGAGAGATGACACACACACATAGACACAAATACACACACAGAGACACAGAGAGAGATGACACACACACATAGACACAGAAATACACACACAGAGACACACAGAGAGAGACACACACACATAGACACAGAAATACACACACAGAGACACAGAGAGAGATGACACAGAGACACACAGAGAGAGACACACACACAGACAGAGACACACAAGCAGAGAGAGATAACACAGAGAGAGACACAGACATATAATTTGTTTATATTATAATTATTAAAATATATTATAATTACGGCTTTGTGTCAATGAGAGATTTGGAGCTTTGGTGACAGCACAGAGAAAGACACTTAATCAAACAAACTTAATATTTGAAAAAGTAATGCAATGCAACACAGAGAGTCGGTCAACACACAACTAACGCATCGCCTGGCTGATCGCGTTCTTCCACAGGTCGCTAAACTATCTTCTTGGTTCTTTCGGTAAAGTCACGTAGAATGGAAATAATAAAATAATGAAAATATTAAAAATAAGACTTTTATTATTTCCATTCTACGTGATATAAAACATAATAAAATGTTATGTTTTATTTGTATTATTTTGTTTTATTTTTATTATTTTATTATTTCCATTCTACGTGATGACTTTACCGAAAGAACCAAGCAGATGAATCACTGCAGTCACGAAAGAAGCTTTACATCGAAATTGCTCAACTAAGCGAGAGAATTGAAGCGAACGCGACCAGCCGAGGGCAGGAGGCACTAGGCCCCGCGTTGTAAAGTTTCAATCTGCACATCGCTTCCATGCTCGCTGCTACTCAATTGACATCCCTACGAGAGAGAGAGAGGCTCTACCTCGGTAAACAACAACAACAACCACCACCACCACAACCACCACCACAACAACAATCACCACAACCGCGATGAGAATTTCTCACCTCGGATTGCAGTTCACGCGCGGAGCGGCAGATTCCTGTTACCTCGTGACGTCACGCGAGAGCAGCAGGCGGTGACATGACGTCACTTGCGTGGTACAAGACACTCCCCTCCCACGACGAATGGGACTTAACTTGAATAAATTATGTTAATGAGACCAGCCCAGACGTGGAGGGACGGGGCGGGGCTGCTGAACCCGTCGCAAAAAAAATGAGGCGCCAGTCACCGGAAGTAGCTTTGCCCAAATAAGGAGTGGCACTGGGACAGATATCGGCAGCGGCCGAGCGGAGGTGACGTCACGCTCAAGAGCTTCGCGGTCGGGGGGGTGGGGCGAATACCTTGGTGACATGACGTCACTAGCGAGGCTAAAATTGAACGAATTTTTTACAGCTGTATTTTTTAACAAAAAGTGCATTCCTCGGTTGTGTTGAGCAGCCTATATATTACATTAAAAGCGAGAAATTTCACCATGAAATTTGAAGTAAAAACATCAAATCGACATACTTTACCAATGCCGTTCTTGGCCAAAATTTGCTACATTTTCATAGCTAGATTTTCCAAGAAAAAGTTAATTCCTCCATTTTGTTAAGCATTAGTATGCTCTATATTACTTTAAAAGTGGGAAATTTCACGATTAAATTTTCACGCCCCAAAAATAAAATCAGTGATACTTACTTATGCCGGTTTTAACCAAAATAAGCCAAATTTTCATAGCTTTCTTTCTCAACAAAAAGTTCATTCATCAATTGTATTTACCCCTAGTATGCTATGTATTAGATTAAAAGTGGAACATTTTATGATGAAATGTGCACGTCCCAATATAGAATATCAGCATACTAACCTATGCCGTTTTTGGCCAATAATGGACAAATATTTGCAACTTCATTTTTCAACAAAAGTGCAATCCTCGGGTGTGCTTAGCCTTAGTATCCTATAGATTACGATATAAGGTGGGAAATTTCACGCCGGGTACTTCCCGCGAGTACTCTTATATAAGCACACAACTTCATCTGTGGTAAACCCTGTACTTTCCTTAGTTTTCATGCAGGAGGCGCTGCAAACCTACGCGCCCCCTGCATGAACGACGGAGGAGCAGGGGACAGACGTTCGATCGCGTTGGAATCGATCTGCAGACGGCGGTATTCTGGCACGGCCAGCTCTATGTCGCCTTATCTCCACCCCGCGATCCCAACCAGGAGAAAGTCCGCATCGAACCGAACCCCGGCAAGGCCATCTACTTAACGACGAGAGAAAATTCACACGAAATGTCGTTTTCAATGAAGTCTTCCAGATGGAAAATGATATCAGCTTTTAATGAAGAAATACAATTATCAAATGCAAAACAATATACAATTCAAAGTTGTTTCATTTTAAAACTTCAAAAGGGAGCATCGGGTGCTTGCGTGGATGCGTCGTTCGTGGACAATTTTCTTCGTGACTTTCCTGGCCCAAGGCCGTAAATGGTTGTGAGGGGCACTGCAGGCGGTCAGGCTTGCTTCAACCCATGGTTGTCAACATCCAGACGTTAATCAGCAAGGACCATTTCTCGTCCTAATTCGACAAAATCTACGTCAACACGTAATACAAAATTATAATTCGTGTTGTAGAAAATGTATCTCCACTACGTGTAACTTTTGAGTGGTATGCCTTGTAACTGATTAATGATCCGAGTGTGCTCCCTATTTCAAAGACAATGAGTTACTCCAGAGGCAGACGCTTCCTGAAAACACAAAAGTACCCTTTGACCTGTATCACAAGAACTACGAGTCTCACCTGAGTGATCTGTACAGGTTACTTGCAAAACTCCGAGTTGCCGAGGCGATTAAGCAAGCACCATATAAATGCAATTGATAACTCTGTGTATGCTTGGGAGCTTATTGGCTCTCGCTCCTGGTTAGAGATCATCCCAACACACAGGTCCACACAGACTGGCCGCTCTTACTCTGCAGGTTGAACCTAGGAATTGAGTGTTCAACTTCATTCTTGTCATTAATAGCCTGTGACAAAGGTGCATCTATTGGAGCGACATCATCTCAAGCTTACGCATCTACCGGGTCTCCATTTGACTTTGTATTGTCTCGGAGGAAGTCCACCCACACCTCCACTTCCACAAACTGCTGGGAGTTGCCTCGCTCGGCCTCACAGTCAGAATTCTCCTCCTGCTTCACGTTGCCTCCATCGATGTGAAGGTCAGATTTTGGAGTTGAATCTTCATCTTCACATTTTACCTTCACTTCTTCGCTCTTCACCATCACTTCTTCGCTCTTCACCATCACTTCTTCACATTTCACCATCACTTCTTCACTCTTCACCATCACTTCTTCACATTTCACCATCACTTCTTCGCTCTTCACCATCACTTCTTCAAATTTCACCTTCACCTCTTCATGTTTCACCTCGATACCTTTAAAAGCGTCCAAGCTGGAATTGTCTTCCGGTTCTTGTTTCACGAGGGATGGGCTCATTGCGGCACTTTGACTTTCGCAAGCTGATTTCAGACTCCACTCCTTGTGGATCTTCTGATGCTTGTGTGATCTCTGGTGTTGTTCAAGATGTGATGACCGTGCAAACGCCTTCCCACACACACTGCACTTGAAGGGTTTCTCTCCCGTGTGTGTTCTCTGGTGTGCTACAAGAGAACATGAATGTGAAAACAACTTCCCACACACATTGCACTTGAAGGGTTTCTCTCCTGTGTGTGTTCTCTGGTGTGCTACAAGATTAATTGACTGTGAAAACGCCTTCCCACACACACTGCACTTGAAGGGTTTCTCTCCTGTGTGTGTTCTCTGGTGTGCTACAAGATTAATTGACTGTGAAAACGCCTTCCCACACACACTGCACATGAACGGTTTCTCTCCCGTGTGTGTTCTCTGGTGTATTACACGAGTGGATGAATCTAAAAACGCCTTCCCACACACACTGCACTTGAAGGGTTTCTCTCCCGTGTGTGTTCTCTGGTGTTTTATAAGAGCAGATGAATCTGAAAACGCCTTCCCACACACACTGCACTTGAAGGGTTTCTCTCCCGTGTGTGTTCTTTGGTGTGTTACAAGAGCGGATGACTGTGCAAACGCCCTCCCACACACAGTGCACTTGAAGGGTTTCTCTCCCGTGTGTGTTCTCTGGTGTTTTATAAGAGCAGATGAATCTGAAAACGCCCTCCCACACACAGTGCACTTGAAGGGTTTCTCTCCCGTGTGTGTTCTCTGGTGTGCTACAAGAGCAGACAACTGTGCAAACGCCCTCCCACACACACTGCACTTGAACGGTTTCTCTCCTGTGTGAGTTCTCTGGTGCTGTGTCAAATTTCCAGGATGATCCGTGCTGTATGCACACCGGTCACATTGTTGCCTTTTTGCACCAAACCGCGCCGACTGCCTTTGCTCCATCAGAGCAATTCTGCAGAGGCAGCGACAGCTGCAGACAGAAAAAAAGAATATCCACACCATATACACATCAATATCGATGCACAGAAGAATGCATATACACAGTCACACGTGACTTACACGTCTATACTTATTCATATATTCATGATAAAGTGAAAAAGTGTCCCAAATTCATCACACGGGCTGTTATGGCACACAATGAGAGGGCAAATGGTTATAACCGTGCCTGGAAGCCCTCGTATCTTCAAAATGAATGTTAACCCAAAACTCCGAGCACACAATTTCGGCTGTCTGGCTTCAAAAGGAATATTTATGAAAGCTAAATTCAGCTGACACAGCAAAGGGTGTTGAAAATAATACAATTTTGTTCTGCAGAAATGCATAAATTAATGTTCAATCGCAACTTAGAGGTGTGAAGCCAGGCACGGATGTCCTTGAATGCTGGGATGAACAGTTCCGACTTCAGCTGCACCGTGTGCTGTGATAACTTCCTGACTCCATTCTTATAAAGAGTTCCAGATGAAAAAAAATACAACTACTGTTTTGGAAAAACCTCCGTGCTCAATGGAGTTAATAGACTTTACTGCAACTATAAACTTCATACTGTCACACACTCAAGAGGCGGAGCCAGGATTTTCAGGTAGGGGGGGAAACCCCTCCAGTTATTAAGCAAGAAGTTGCTAGTAAGGAGTTGTTAGTAAGAACTTGTCCCTTGCTTTTTATTTGACGCGTGTGATCGGCATCGTGCTCACTGAAGGTGTTGATGCCTTCAGGGAAGTCGTGTACTGTAGACGAAACTGCGCACAATTCTGCGAGTCGCTTGTAACTGCTTTGCCGTTTCTTATTGCCAATTATGGACTTGGACTGTTGTCCTCTCAGAGTCCCTGGCACGTAATAATATGCCACACGGTGGCGGTGGGGGTCCCAAAATGCTGATTTATCTATATATATAAAAGGGAAATTTGTGAATGTCTGTTCGAAAACATGCAACAAACTTGAAATTAGGCATGTGGGTAGCTTCCAGACTGTACACAATGCGAAAAGTATAAAAATAGACTTGTGTATTTTGGGGGGGAGGGGGTGGGGCGCAATAATGCATTTATTTTGCACGCAAGTGAGCGGTGACGTCATATCTGTGATGTCACACCCGCATGCGGAAGCATTACACAGCGTGCTTGCTGACATCACCCCCCCCCCAAACACTCCGCGTAGGACGTGTTTTAATCCAAGACAAGAATCCAAGTCCCGGGCAAAGCCAGGTAGTGAAGCTAGTTACTAATAAACCCCAATGATCCCATCGAAATTAGGGATTTCGATCGGATCGTTGGGGGGGCACGTGCCACCCCACCCCCACTGGCTCCACCACTGTCACGCACTGGCACGGTTCACAGGTGGTGGTGTGTCCAGACCCACGCCTGGCCACCTTCACCTGCTCAGTATTAATGCTTCCTCACTCCACCAAGTAATTCATTGAGGATCAACCAACACAGCCGAGGCTGCGTGTCTCTCTCTCTCTCCCAGTGGTCGCGTTGATTTCCGTCCCAATCCCCGGGTTTCCCCTCCACATGTCTAGAGTGAACACTACCACGTGTCTAGAGTGAACACCGCCACGCGTCGAGAGTGAACACCGCCACACGTCCAGAGTGAACACCGCCACGCGTCTAGAGTGAACACCGCCACACGTCTAGAGTGAACACCGCCACGTGTCTAGAGTGAACACCACCACGCGTCCAGAGTGAACACCACCACGCGTCCAGAGTGAACACCGCCACGCGTCTAGAGTGAACACCGCCACGTGTCTAGAGTGAACACCACCACGCGTCCAGAGTGAACACCGCCACGCGTCTAGAGTGAACACCGCCACGCGTCCAGAGTGAACACCGCCACGCGTCTAGAGTGAACACCGCCACGTGTCTAGAGTGAACACCACCACGCGTCTAGAGTGAACACCGCCACGCGTCCAGAGTGAACACCGCCACGCGTCTAGAGTGAACACCGCCACGCGTCCAGAGTGAACACCGCCACGCGTCTAGAGTGAACACCGCCACGCGTCCAGAGTGAACACCGCCACGCGTCCAGAGTGAACACCGCCACGTGTCTAGAGTGAACACCGCCACGCGTCCAGAGTGAACACCACCACGCGTCCAGAGTGAACACCACCACGCTGTTGACAAGCCCCACCTTGTTGTTGTTGTGGGCAGGTTGCTTCTGAAAACAAGAGCGGTACAGCAGCTCAAGTGGGCATGGCCTGTTAAAAAATAAACTGTGAATATTTAAAATAAACAAAGTTACAAAGTAGCGAGACAGGTGAAGAGAAATTAAAACTTAAGCAAGATACCCTTTGGTTCTTTCGGTAAAGTCACGTAGATTAAATAATAAATTAAATAATAGCATACGACGTTTCAACTGCAACACAAGCAATCATCATCAGGTACAAATGAAAGAGAAAAAAAACCTAGTCAACTTATAAATGTAATGCAATACAACACAGAGAGTCAGCTAACATAACAGTCAACACCCCAACTGGCTGATTACGTTCTTCCAAAGATTGCTCAATTTTAGAGAGAGACACGGAGACACATAGACAGACACATAAGCAGAGAGAGATGACACAAAGACACACAGAGAGAGAGACACACACATAGACACACAGAGAGAGATGACAGAGAGACACACAGAAAGACACACACATACACACAGAGAGAGATGACACAGACACACAGAGAGAGATGACACAGAGACACACCGAAAGACACACACATAGACACACAGAGAGAGATGACACAGAGACACACAGAGAGAGAGACACAGAGACACAGAGAGAGACACACACATAGACACACAGAGAGAGATGACAGACACACAGAAAGATATACACACAGAGAGAGACACACACACATAGACACACAGAGAGATAATACAGAGACACACAGAGAGAGACACACACACAGGTACACAGAGAAACAACGCCTCTGTGTCGAAATCAACATTGGTGGGACCAAATCTTGCAGGGGGTCTGGGGTCCCCCCCCAGAAAAATATCTAAATTTGAAAACTCATTTCCTGCCATTTCCTCCCTAAAATATTTGTAAAAGTTCACTAACACATGGGATGGACTTTGTTTTATTTGATACAATGTCTAATAGTGTATTGTATTACATTGCTGTTTTTTCTTTTTTACCTTTTCTTGTTTCGTAGTATGTAATGGCAGAGATTAGGGATTCATGAAGTACAACGCAATCATATGAACAGAAATCTATGCATTGTTATATTAAGACAAGTCCAGATTTCGTGGCCAAGGTTTAGCAAATAGTTGTTTTTATTAACAGAGCATCGCAATTATTATGTACAAATATTTTACAGCAATATATTGGAGGGGCATATTTGATTATTATAATTATTATAACATTATAATTATTATAACATATTATACTTATTATAACATTATAATTAATATATATTATATTTATTATAACATTATAATTTATATATTATAATTATTATAACATTATAATTACGGACTTGTGTCAATGAGAGATTTGGAGCTTTGGTGACTGCACACAAAGAGACACTTAATCAAACAAACTTAATATTTGAAATGTAATGCAACAACAGAGAGTCGGTCAACACACCCACTAACGTACTCTTAGGTTGTGTCGATAAAGTCACCATCTAGGTAACAAATGAATTTAAAATTAATAAAATTAATGAAATAATAAAAAAATCACGCCTCACTTGATGCAGCAAATGTGGCTGTGACGGTCCCACCTGATAACGGAGACTTGTGTTGCCTCCGAAACGTCGTGATTTTTATTTTATTTTACTTTCATTAATTTTAATTTTTCACCTACACGGTGACTTTACCGAACAAACCTAAGAGTATGAATCACTGCAGTCACGAAAGCTTCAAATCTCGAGTTAACACAACTAACGCATCTCCTGGCTGATCGCGTTCTTCCATAGGTTGCTAAACTATCTTCTTGGTTCTTTCGGTAAAGTCACTTAGAATGGAAGTAATAAAATAATAAAAATATTAAACATATTAGTTTGACTATTTTATTATTTCTATTCTACGTGATGTAGAACATATTAAAAGGTTATTATGTTTTTTTTATTTCATTGGTTTATTTTTAATATTTTATTATTTCCATTCTACGTGATGACTTTACCGAAAGAACCAAGCAGATGAATCACTGCAGTCACGAAAGAAGCTTTACATCGAAATTGCCCAACTAAGCGAGAGAATTGAAGCGAACGCGACCAGGCGAGGGCAGGAGGCACTAGGCCCCGCGTTGTAAAGTTTCAATCTGCACATCGCTTCCATGCTCGCTGCTACTCAAATAACATCCCTACGAGAGAGAGAGCGAGGCTCTACCTCGGTAAACAACAACAACAACACCACAAACCACCACCACCACAACAACCACCACAACCACAACAACCACAACCACCACAACAACAACCACCACAACCACAATCACCACAACAACCACAATCACCACAACAACCACCACCACAACCACAACCACCACAACAACAATCACCACAACAACAACAACCACCACAACAACCACAATCACCACAACAACAACCACCACAACAACAACCACCACAACAACAACAACCACCACAACAACCACAATCACCACAACAACAACCACCACCACAACAACCACCACAACAACAACCACCACCACAACAACCACCACCACAACAACAACCACCACATCAACCACAATCACCACAACAACAACCACCACCACAACAGCCACCACAACAACAACAACCACCACAACAACAACCACCACCACAACCACAACCACCACAACCACAACAACCACCACAACAACAACCACCACAACAACAACAACCACCACAACACCACAATCACCACAACAACAACCACCACCACAACAACAACCACCACCACAACAACCACCACAACAACAACCACCACCACCACAACCACAACCACAACAACCACCACAACAACAACCACAACAACAACAACCACCACAACAACCACAATCACCACAACAACAACCACCACCACAACAACCACCACAACAACAACAACCACCACAACAACAACCACCACCACAACCACAACCACCACAACAACAACCACCACAACAACAACCACCACAACAACAACAACCACCACAACAATCACAATCACCACAACAACCGCGATGAGAATCTCACCTCGGAATTCAGCGCACGGGCCGAGCGGAAACTTCCCGGTCCCTCGTGACGTCACGCGGCAGCAGGTGACATGACGTCACTTGCGGGGTACGATGACACTCCCCTCCCACAATGAGCGGCTCTCAACTCGCGACGGCTTTCATGAATAAATTATGTTAATGAGCCGCCAGTCACCGGGCCTGGCTTTGCCCAAATAAGGATTGGCACTGGAGCGGAGGTGACGTCACGCTCAAGAGCGCGTGAGTTGGGTGAATACCTTGGTCACATGACGTCACTAACAAGGCACACCTCCCCGTGGCGTTTGACGCCGATGAGGTCACGCTGAGCGGTGACGTCAGAGAACGGGGTCAGAGTTCAAGTTTGTTGTTGTTGGCAGTGTCGTGCTGAGCGCTGCGCTCCGCACCGACCAGCCGAGTTCCATTCCCGCTCGTGGCCAACGCCGCCAGAGACACTTTCTGAGCCGGTCCTGAGCCTCCCCTACGTCTAATGTTACTTGTCAGTGTCTCATTAACCTAGTAGCACAAGTAGCTACTAATGTTACTTGTCAGTGTCTCATTATCCTAGTAGCACAAGTAGCTACTAATGTTACTTGTCAGTGTCTCATTATCCTAGTAGCACAAGTAGCTACTAATGTTACTTGTCAGTGTCTCATTAACCTAGTAGCACAAGTAGCTACTAATGTTACTTGTCAGTGTCTCATTATCCTAGTAGCACAAGTAGCTACTAATGTTACTTGTCAGTGTCTCATTATCCTAGTAGCACAAGTAGCTACTAATGTTACTTGTCAGTGTCTCATTATCCTAGTAGCACAAGTAGCTACTAATGTTACTTGTCAGTGTCTCATTAACCTAGTAGCACAAGTAGCTACTAATGCTACTTGTCAGTGTCTCATTATCCTAGTAGCACAAGTAGCTACTAATGTTACTTGTCAGTGTCTCATTATCCTAGTAGCACAAGTAGCTACTAATGTTACTTGTCAGTGTCTCATTAACCTAGTAGCACAAGTAGCTACTAATGTTACTTGTCAGTGTCTCATTATCCTAGTAGCACAAGTAGCTACTAATGTTACTTGTCAGTGTCTCATTATCCTAGTAGCACAAGTAGCTACTAATGTTACTTGTCAGTGTCTCATTAACCTAGTAGCACAAGTAGCTACTAATGTTACTTGTCAGTGTCTCATTATCCTAGTAGCACAAGTAGCTACTAATGTTACTTGTCAGTGTCTCATTATCCTAGTAGCACAAGTAGCTACTAATGTTACTTGTCAGTGTCTCATTACCTAGTAGCACAAGTAGCTACTAATGTTACTTGTCAGTGTCTCATTATCCTAGTAGCACAAGTAGCTACTAATGTTACTTGTCAGTGTCTCATTATCCTAGTAGCACAAGTAGCTACTAATGTTACTTGTCAGTGTCTCATTAACCTAGTAGCACAAGTAGCTACTAATGCTACTTGTCAGTGTCTCATTATCCTAGTAGCACAAGTAGCTACTAATGCTACTTGTCAGTGTCTCATTAACCTAGTAGCACAAGTAGCTACTAATGCTACTTGTCAGTGTCTCATTATCCTAGTAGCACAAGTAGCTACTAATGTTACTTGTCAGTGTCTCATTATCCTAGTAGCACAAGTAGCTACTAATGTTACTTGTCAGTGTCTCATTAACCTAGTAGCACAAGTAGCTACTAATGTTACTTGTCAGTGTCTCATTATCCTAGTAGCACAAGTAGCTACTAATGTTACTTGTCAGTGTCTCATTATCCTAGTAGCACAAGTAGCTACTAATGTTACTTGTCAGTGTCTCATTAACCTAGTAGCACAAGTAGCTACTAATGTTACTTGTCAGTGTCTCATTATCCTAGTAGCACAAGTAGCTACTAATGTTACTTGTCAGTGTCTCATTAACCTAGTAGCACAAGTAGCTACTAATGTTACTTGTCAGTGTCTCATTATCCTAGTAGCACAAGTAGCTACTAATGATACTTGTCAGTGTCTCATTAACCTAGTAGCACAAGTAGCTACTAATGTTACTTGTCAGTGTCTCATTATCCTAGTAGCACAAGTAGCTACTAATGCTACTTGTCAGTGTCTCATTATCCTAGTAGCACAAGTAGCTACGATTCCAAAGAACACAGGATGAGATGTTATTATCCTTTGTGCAAGCACTTCCAAGAGTTCATGAACAGTGAGCCTGGTGAAATTTGGGGAGCGCATCGTCAGTAGTGAACCTTTGGGTCCTAGGGTGTTTCGGCCTTTCATACTATACACCCTCCCCAAAGGCGGCCAGCGACAGGGTGATCAATCCTACGCTTGCGTCCCATTCCCAATTAGTCATAGGAGTTGCCTTGTTGTTGATAGCCAGCATCCCATGGGACTATGCATGGCAGGGGCGTCCTCATCCCTGAGTCAAGCATTGTTGACTGCATACCTCCTGGCCCTCTCACTTTGGGGCCCAGCTGGGGTCTTTCCTCTTCATCCAGAGCCACTGACTGCTGCCTTCTGCCGCCTCCGATACAGCTCTGATTGCCGAACGCTGGCTCTGGCCCTTAATTCCCAGGTCTCTAAGCAGTCTGGTTGTAGATGTTGCCACAAAACCTCTGCAGCCCACCTCCACTGGTCGGACTTCTGTGTTCCAGCCATGATGCCGTGCTTCAGCAGCTAGATCGGCATAGCGCAGATGTTTTCGCTCATAAGCCTCATCTACTGAGTCCTCCCAGGGTACTGTGAGCTCAATGATGAAGACCTTCTTGAGCGAACGGGACCAGAGCACCATGTCAGGTCTTAGGGTGGTGGTTGCGATCTCCGGAGGAAACACAAGTTGCCGGCCAATGTCAGCTAGCATTTTCCAGTCGCGGGCCAAGCGCAGCTGGTCTCGCTCTATTGGTGTAGAGCCGCTCTTTGGTGGTTTAGCCCCTTCGCGGACAAAGGTCGTCCGTAAGGGGTGTGATGCTGCTGGGGGTGGTAGGGAGTTGGTGGCAGTTCGCTTGTCCTCCAGGGCGGATGCAAGGTTTTTAAGGACTTGGTTGTGACGCCAAGTGTAGCGTCCTTGGGTGAGGCTTGTTTTACACCCTGTGAGAATGTGCCTGAGGTTGGCTGGCATGGAACAGAGGGCACAGTCCGGATCTTCACCATACCATTGGTGAAGATTAACTGGTGTTGGAAGGACGTCATATGTTGCTCTGATGGAAAAGCTCAACCGCCTCGCTTCCATGGCCCACAGATCCTTCCAGCTGATCTTCCTCTTCTCCACACTGTCCCATCGAGTCCACTGTCCCTGTTTGGCACGAGAGACTGCCTTGGCCCACCTTGCAGCCTCCTCCTGATGGCGTACTTCCTGCACTACCATCTTCCGCCGCTCTGGTGCAGTGGCCTTACTCCAAGCAGCACGGCTAGTTAGTCCAAAGCCTCCTCTCCCTTGCTGAACATGACCCACAATGTCAGCATGTCTGAGGGTTGTTGTTGCCTCCTGGACTGCTTTTCCTGGCCTCCATTTGCGCCCAGTTGCCAAGGTCGGCGCGTTGTTGCTCACCACTGGGTCTCGAGATTCATTCAGTGTCATCTGGAGCCTGGTTTTTGCACACTTGAATTCCTCGGTTAGACTGGTGAGGGGCAGCTTGAGGACACCATCTCCATAGAGGCCTATGGTGGTAAGGCATCGTGGAACTCCGAGCCACTTCTTTAAGTAGCTCGTGGCTCCTCTTTCCATCTTCTCCACTGTTGAGATTGGAACCTCATACACTGCTAGGGGCCACAACACCCGGGGTAGGAGACCAAACTGCAGACACCAGGCCTTTAACTTTCCAGGTAGCTGGGTGTTGTTGATGGACTGTAGGCTACTACTGATGTCTTTGCGCAGCTGTTGCACCTGGTCTTTGTCCTTCAGGCTTGCATCATACCACCTAAGCAAGCAAGCGAACTTAATATAAAGGATTAAAATATATATTCGCCTGTGGAGGACGCGGGGATCGATCCCGCGACCTTTGGCATGGGAAGCGAGGGCGCTACCAACTGCGCTACTCCGCCACGGCCTGTGGAGGGGTTACGCTCTGGGCTCTTACACTCTGACGTTCAGCCAAAGCCATGAATGAGTTCTATTTGAATATATGTAAAATACATTTTTTTTGCCTAAAAAGTGTAAAATTTTGGGAATTCTTTTTCACGAACAATAATTGTCTGGCACAACGAGTCTGAGTGGAAAATGTCAGCTCGATTGGATCACGGGAAGTGGGTTAAAAAACGACCGAAAGATTTGCACGGTCCTAAGCAAGCAAGCGAACTTAATATGAAGGATTTGAAAAGTGGTTGGAGCGCCTCCCTGCGTGGTGACGTCATCGCGCTCGGGTTGGTGGGCGGCCCCGTGCGTGGTGACGTCATCGCGCAGGGGGGGAGGGGCTGGTCACGTGGGCGTTTGGGGGCTGGTCACGTGAGCGGGGAGGGGCGGTAACGTGGGCGGGGGGGGGGCTGGTCACGTGGGTGGGGGGGGAGGGGCTGGTCACGTGGGTGGGGGGGGAGGGGCTGGTCACGTGGGCGGGGGGGGCTGTTCACGTGGGCGGGGGGCGGGGGGGGGGCTGGTCACGTGGGCGGGGGGGAGGGGCTGGTCACGTGGGCGGGGGGGGCTGGTCACGTGGGTGGGGGGGGCTGGTCACGTGGGCGGGGGGTGGAGGGGCTCGTCACGTGGGCGGGGGGGGCTGGTCACGTGGGCGGGGGGGGGCTGGTCACGTGGGCGGGGGGGGCTGGTCACGTGGGCGGGGGGTGGAGGGGCTCGTCACGTGGGCGGGGGGGGCTGGTCACGTGGGCGGGGGGGGGCTGGTCACGTGGGCGGGGGGGGCTGGTCACGTGGGCGGGGGGTGGAGGGGCTGGTCACGTGGGCGGGGGGGGCTGGTCACGTGGGCGGGGGGTGGAGGGGCTGGTCACGTGGGCGGGGGGGGCTGGTCACGTGGGCGGGGGGGGCTGGTCACGTGGGCGGGGGGGGCTGGTCACGTGGGCGGGGGGTGGAGGGGCTCGTCACGTGGGCGGGGGGGGCTGGTCACGTGGGCGGGGGGGGCTGGTCACGTGGGCGGGGGGTGGAGGGGCTCGTCACGTGGGCGGGGGGGGCTGGTCACGTGGGCGGGGGGGGCTGGTCACGTGGGCGGGGGGGGCTGGTCACGTGGGCGGGGGGGGGGCTGAATCTTAATTTTGGAGCTTTCG